CTCAGTTGGTTAAGCATCTGCCTTCTGTTCGGGTCATGATCCTGGGGTCCTGGGATAGAGCCCTGTTTGGGCTTCCTGCTCAGCAGGGGAGTCGGCTTCTCCCTCTCCCTCTGCCCCTGCTCCTGTGCTCTCTTTCTCGCTCACTCTCTCTCTCAAAAAAAAAAAAAAAAAATCTTAAGTATAATGGATTGTCACTAAAGGGTATAAAGCAAATCACGATTAAGACCTGGCCCCTGCCCTCCAGAAACTCCCAGAGCAGGGGAAAGTCAGACCTGGCCACAATATGAGTAAAAAGCCTACATCAGGGAGCAGCATTACAAACCTGGCAAGTGCTGTAGACCCATAGGGAAATTCGTTTTGACCAGAGATCTGGGAAGGCTTCTTGCTGAAGGTGAAATCGGTTGTGACTGTTGAAGGGAGGGAGAGCTGTGGCAGGTGATTTTGGTGAGGACCTACAGACACTCTAAGTCAAGGGAAAGCTTTAGGGAAGGTACTGAAGCAGGAGGGTCTGGGGAGAAGGCAACTGAACAAGTAAGTGGGTCTGTAGCAGCAAAGGGCACACTGTTGCCTTTTGGGGTATTGAGAGAAGGAATGGTGTGTACTTTGTGGAATGGGAGAGAAGGAATCAGCAAGACTGCCCTCGACAGTCTTCCTAAATTGTAGAGAGTTTTGAACGACAGGCTGAGAAGTTTGACTTAATTTTATTAGGAATGGGAAGCCACAAGCAATTTTTGAACAGACATGACCTGGTTAGATCTGTTCTTTAATAAGATTAGCTTGGCATAATGTATAGGACTAGAGAAGGGGGATAATTAGGAGGTAATGAAGTCTGTAGCTAGCAACTTAGAAAGCCAAAACAAAAAGATCCCAACTTACCATAAAATTAAAGATTAAAGAATTAAATGTAAGCAAATAAAACCAGAAGAAAATGGATGAAATGGTATTCATGAACCTTCTAAGACTGTGTGTGGGGAGGATAAACTTGCAAGTTTAAATGCCATAAAAGAAATCAGAAAGGAAAAGAGTGAATTTCACCTGAATATAAAAAAGAAAAAAGGACAAATGGACAAGAGTGATCAATTTAAAATTTTTTTTTATTTTAGGGACTCCTGGGTGGCTCAGTTGGTTGAGCATCTGCCTTCAACTCAGGTCATGATCCCAGGGTCCTGGGATCAAGCCCCATGTCAGGCTCCCCATTCAGCAGGGAGCCTGCTTCTCCCTCTGCCGGCCGCTCGCCCTGCTTGTCCTCTCTCTCTCTCTCTCTCTCTTTCTCTCTGTCTCTCTCTGACAAATAAAGTCTTTAAAAAATTTTATTTTATTTTTTTTAAGTAAACTATACCTCCAATGTGGGGCTTGAACTCACGACCTTGAGGCCAAGAGTTGCATGCTCCACCAACTGAGCCAGCCAGGTACCTCAAGAGTGATCAGTTTGACTACATACAGACTAAATTTACAACTTTGGTATGTGTGTGTATAAATAAAAAACCAGGGACGCCTGGGTGGCTCAGTGGGTTAAGCGGCTGCCTTTGGCTCAGGTCATGATCTTAGGGTCCTGGGATTGAGTCCCGCATCGGGCTCCTTGCTCAGCGGGGAGCCTGCTTCTCCCTCAGCTTGCTGCTCCCCCTGCTTGTGCTCTCTCTTTCTCTCTCTGACAAATAAATAAATAAAATCTTAAAAAAATTAAAAACCAAACTAGATTCCTGCTCCCCTTCCCCCATGCAAAAAAAAGCAGATACATTGGGAAATATATATTTATACAATATTATGCAAATTACACATATTTATACATATTACACAAATATGATGAGTTACAAGCTTTTTGTGTAGCTAATACAAAATAGGTTTACAAAAAGGGGCTTCTCAATAGATAAAGAGGTAAAGGACAATTTTTTTTTTCTTTTTTAAGATTTTATTTATTTGACAGAGAAAGACACAGCGAGAGAGGGGAACACAAGCAGGGGGAGTGGGAGAGTGAGAAGCAGGCTCCCAAGGAGCAGGGAGCCCAATGCGGGACTCGATCCCAGGACCCTGGAATCATGACCTGAGCCGAAGGCAGACGCTTCACGACTGAGCCACCCAGGCGCCCCGGTAAAGAACAATTTCAGAGGAGGAAGTATGAAGGCTAAAACACAGAAATATAGTAATAGAATTAATATATATTAAAATAATATGGCTCTTTTTGGTCTATTAAACTAATATTTTTCCTGATACATTAAAGATATATAAAGATATATATAAAATATATATAGGTGTGTGTGTATATATATATAAAGATATATAGAGGGGCACCTGGGTAGTTCAGTCATCAAGCATCTGCCTTTGGCTCAGGTCATGATCCTAGGGTCCTGGGATCGAGCCCTGCATCGGGCTCCCTGCTCAGCCGGGAGCCTGCTTCTCCCTCTCCTATGCCCCCTGCTTGTGTTCCCTCTCTCGCTGTGTCTCTCTCTCTCTGTCAAATAAATAAATAAAATCTTAAAAAAAAAAAGATATATATATATATGAAGATTATATAAAGATAAAGATTTATATATATAAAGATATATATATAACAGCTTTATTGAGACATACTTTACATATCATACAATTCACCCATTTAAAGTATACAATCCAATGGTTTTTAGTATATTCATAGTGTTGTACAACCAACACCACAACAATATTTTAAAACATTTTCATCACTCCAAAAAGAAAACCATACCCATTAGTAGTCACTCAACATTTCCCACCCACTAGCCCAGCTGCAGGCAACTACTGATCTACTTTATGTCTTTACGAATTTGCCTATTCCGAACATGTCGTATAAATGGAATCATACAATAGTATAGTCTTTTGTGACTAGCTTCCATCATTTAGCATGTTTTCAGATTCATCCACCTTATAGCATGTACCAGTATTTCATTTCTTTTTTTTTTTTTTTAAAGATTTTATTTATTTGACAGAGACACAGCGAGAGAGGGAACACAAGCAGGGAGAGTGGGAGAGGGAGAAGTAGGCATCCCCCTGAGCAGGAGCCCGATGCGGGGCTCGATCCCAGGACCCTGGGATCACGACCCGAGCTGAAGGCAGATGCTTAATGACTGAGCCACCCAGGCTCCCCGAGTATTTCATTTGTTCGTATTGCCAAATAATATTCTGTTGCATGGATATATTACATTTTATTTATCTGTTCATCAGTTGATGGACATTTGGGTTGTTTTCACTTTTTGGCTGCTATGAATAATATTGCTGTGAACATTTATGTACACATTTGTGTGAACACATATTTTAATTTTTCTTGAGCGCATACCTAGGAGTGGAATTGCTGGGTCTTATGGTAAGTCTATTTTTAACCTTTTGAGCAACTGCCAGACTGATTTCCAAAGTGGCCACACCATTTTGCATTCCCACCAGCAATGTATGAAAGCTCAAATTTCTCTATAACCTCCTCAACACTTGTTATTGTCTGTCTTTTTTATTATAGCCATCCTGGAGTGTGCTAAATGGTATCTCATTATGGTTCTGATTTGCATTTCCCTGATGACTGATGATATGGAACACCTATCTTTTCATGTGCTTACTAGCCATATGTACATCTTCTTTGGAGAAATATCTATTCATATCTTTTGCCCATTTTTCATTGAACTGTCTTTTTATTACTGAGTTTTAAGAATTATTTATATATTCTAGGGGCACCTGGGTGGCTCAGTCAGTTAAGCGTCTGCCTTCAGCTCAGGTCATGATCCCAGGGTCCTGGGATCAAGCCCAGAGTCGAGCCCAGAGTCGGGCTCCCTGCTCAGCGGGGAGCCTGCTTCTCCCACTTCTTCTCCCTCTGCCTCTCCCCCTGCTGGTGCTCTCTCACTCTCTTTGTCTCAAATAAATAAATAAAAATCTTTTAAAAACCTACTTAAAAAAAGAGTTATTTATGTATTCTAGATACAAGTTTTTTATTAGATATATGATTTACAAATATTTTCTCCCATTCTGTGGGTTGTCTTTTCACTTTTTTAAGGGTGTCTTTTGAAGCACAAAAGCTGTAAACTTTGATGAAATCCAAATTATTTTCTTTTGTTGTTGTTGCTTATGTTTTTGGTGTACTCAGTAAACTCTGTATTGAAGTATAACATACATAAAATGTATAATTTGACAGTTTTCTCAAACTGAACACACTCTGTAACCAGTGCTGAGAGAAGTAGAACGTTCCCAGCACCCCAGAAGTGTTCCTCATAGCCCTTCCTCTCCAAAGGTAACCACTGTCCTGATTTTTAACTCCATGATTGGTTTTGCCTGTCTTTGAAGTATATGAACAGAATCATACTGAATAAGCAAAGATTTTCAACAATCTTACTCAATGCTGGGAAGGATATGAAGAGACTAGAATATCATACACTATGAACGAGCTGATCTCTCAGAAAAGCAGCTTGTGTTAATGTGTAGATCATTTGGCTCACTAATTCCATTTCTGGGAATCATAGCATCACTTATAATATAGAAAATAAGGAAACTTCAGAAAGCAATGGGTAGGAGAATGCTAGGACATCCTAACAGTAGAATGCTACACAGCCATCAAAATGATGTTTACCAAGAGGTTAAAAGAATGTGAAAAAAAAATGGAATATTATGCAGCCATCAAAACAAGAAATCCTGCCATTTGCAACAACGTGGATGGAACTAGAGGGTGTTATGCTAAGCGAAATAAGTCAATCAGAGAAAGACAAGTATCATATGATCTCACTGATATGAGGAATTCTTTTTTTTTAAGATTTTATTTATTTACTTGATAGAGATAGAGAGGAGAACACAAGCAGGTGGAGTGGCAAGCAGAGGGAGAGGGAGAAGCAGGCTCCCCGCTGAGGAAGGAGCCCGACGTGGGGCCCGATCCCAGGACCCTGGGATCATGACCTGAGCCGAAGGCAGA